TCACTATTCCAGCCTAAAAATACATTCTTCATATAAAGTTTTGAGGCATCTACTGATTGATGACCACCTGATGAAGGGTGATGCCTGAAGACGTTTGTTTTTTTACCATTAAACGTTACAGCTACTCTACACTTTTGCTTTATGCGTTTTGTTACTATATATATATATATATATACTGCCACCACTGCGTACAGATGCAGTAGTAGTAAGAACATGGACCTATTAGTATTAAATAGGTCCATGGTAAGAGTAAGTATTCCATCGTGAATTCTATGCTGCTGTTAATGTTTCACTGCTTTTAACTGACTTTCGGCAAACTGGGCTTGGCAACTGGATTCGGCAAACTGGGTTCGGCAAACTGGGTTTCGGCCAGCTGGGATTCATTGTTTTTGAGTCGGCAAACTGGCACTCGGCAAACTGGGATTCGGCAAAGTGGTCTCGGCAATCTGGTATTCGGCAAACTGGATTTCGACCATCTGGCCTAGTACCTACGTACTGTACTGCAGAGGATTTTGATACACTATTTAGATAGGCTCTTCTTTTCCCATCTTGTGGCAGAGGTCGAAACATTTTTTATAGTGGTGTAGAATAATCTTTTAAGACTTCCAGAAAAAAAAATAATGTGATACGATTCTTCGTTACGGAGTTGTGGATTTTTAAGTAACATGAGTTCAACTATTTTCCCTCGAAGATTATCTTATTTTTGTTGGCTACGCACCATTGATTTGATCAATGGGCACTAAAAATCTTATAAACACAAGATAGAATTCTCCGCGATTTACGCGTGCAAATTCTGTAATAATGCATGAAAAGCGCCCTCTTGCAAAATTGAAAACTTTTGAACCTTGACCGCTCTGACCATAGTGTACGCTGCGCAACTTTACAATTACGCGTAATAATTAGAAGCGTCCGATTTACAATGCGCCCTCTCTTTTTAGAACATAAAGGAACAAATTAACGTACAGTACTTTTTATTGGGCTTTTAAAGCAAAAAATATCATGAGAGATCTGACTCTCCCATTGGCTTGACGCAGGGTTCCCGGAACGCCGCTCTCAGCGGAGAGCGCGAAGCACAACTCAGGGTCAAAAGTGGAACTTGAAATTTGGATTATTATGGTTTTGTAGTCAGATTTGCGAGAAAAACTTCAGCTACCCGTATTTTCTGGACTGAGACGTCAGTGGGAGCTGCAATTTGTATGGCAAGGAGATTGAGCAACCCTTTATTCATATTAAGGGAATTTACGCCCAGAAACTTTGTAGTTATTAATATTTTGGTTATAATAGAAAGTATTCATTTTTTGGTGACGTCACACTCACATTCGTTAGCATGCATACGTCATAAGCTGCATACGTCATAAGCTAGATACGTCACCTTTTCCTGGCAAGGCAAACTTTCCCGGCGTGCTTTTTTTCATGTATAAACAAACACCACTGCTTTGCACATGGATACCTTGCCCAAGCCAGGGCTACAAGAGCCGCATTGTTAGCATTGTATAATACTTAAATTTAAGGTAATCTGCAAATGAATTATTCTTAGTTATTTTTTTTTCTTATTTTAATTTATGTCTTCCGAAAGTGTACTTTCTATCACATATAATCCCACTGTCTTAGTTAGGCCTAGGCCTAGTCTTATGCCTCATCGTCCCCCGCTACACAGTACATCAGCAGCCCCTCCCCCACACAGTACAGACGTTTGCTAGGCAACAACGTGATTGTACCTTCCTTCCCAGGTGTTCATGTAACATTGACATAATTGTTAGCTAACCAGTTGTGTGTATTTCTTTGTGAAAATGAGTACCGCGGTGTACTCATTTTCACAAAGCATTTGCATCCCCTCTTGGAAAGAGGGGATTCGAAATAATTGTTAATTGGAGATTTTTGTATGATCGGAAATGCAAAAAAAGAAGCAGGGAAGAAGGAGGAGAAGGATGGGAAAGAGAATGTTTATCCAGTACCCGACCGAGTTACATTTTCTCGCAATTCACATTGGCGGATCTGGAGAGGGGGTCATGGGTCCTGACCCCTCCCTTGGGCAACAAAAAAATGGGAAAAAGAAAAGAATTTTAGACCTACCCTTTTCAGGACCCCTGAGCTGATATTTTTTTTGTTGCTATTAGAAAATTACAATTTTGAAGAACATAAAATTCATTTAAAACACACTTAATGTCGGGAAAGCTCAATTCCCGCCATTTAGGAATCAAAATTTTCCCGGGGGAGAACCCCCGACCACCCTTTCTTTTTGGGATTTATCGATTCATGGAAAAAAGAATACGCATGCAACTACTCATTTGTTTATGTATGTATACACACATAAAATAAAAAATGAGAAAAATTTACCTGACCT